TGGACAAAAGTTGATTCTGCCTCGGACATGATCGCTTAAGCGATTATAAATCGCTTAAGCGACCAACGTTAAAAGCAAGGATCGCTTAAGCGATCCATGCGTCTGGGCACTTATTTATTGTCTTGTTCATGATCGCTTAAGCGACCAATAATAAAAACGAAGAATCGCTTAAGCGATACTTAAGCGATCCTGCGTCCGGCATTTCTTTATTGTCTTGTTCATGATTGCTTAAGTAGATCGCTTAAGCGACTAATAGTAAAACGAAGAATCGCTTAAGCGATACACTTAATCGCTTAAGCGATTGTGCATCTAGCAGAAGTTTATTCTGTCTCGGACATGATCGCTTAAGCGATTTGTAATCGCTTAAGCGACAAGGTTAAAAGCAAAGGATCGCTTAAGCGATAGAATAAATCGCTTAAGCGATCGTGCGTCGGACACTTATTGATTCTGTCTTGTTCGTGATCGTTAGCGATCTTGATCGCTTAAGCAACAAATGTAAAAGCATAGAATCGCTTAAGCGATAACATAAATACAACCAGATCGCTTAGCTGACTAAGTCTAATACACAGGATCGCTTAAGCGAAATGAAATCTCTTAAGCGATCCAGTGTATGGATTATTTTATTGTACTTCACTGATTGGTTAAACGATTAACGCTATCTTAGACATATAAGGTGTACGATTCATTCAGTGGACCATTACCGTTATTATATTTTGATTAAATTAGTTCTTTTACGGCTATATTAAACTATATGATGGAGAATGTTTACGTCTATATTAACATCAGGTGTCGGTTTGTTTAGTGGATCATGACCGTTATTATATTTAATTAAATTAGTTCTTTTACGGCTATATTAAACATATATGGTGTAGAATGTTTACGTCTATATTAAACATATCAGGTGTACGATTCGTTCAGTGGACCATGACCGTTATTATATTTTAATTAAATTAGTTCTTTTACGGCTATATTAATATATATGGTGTATAATGTTAGTCTATATTAAACATATCAGGTGTACAATTCGTTCAGTAGACCATGACCGTTATTATATTTAATTAAATTAGTTCTTTTACGGCTATGTTAAACATATATGGTGTAGAATGTTTACATCTATATTAAACATATCAGGTATACGATTTGTTCAATAGACTATGATCGTTTATATTTTAATAAATTAGTTTTTAAGGCTATTTAAACACATATGGTGTAGAATGTTTACATCTATATTAAAACATTCAGGTGTACGATTCGTTCAGTAGACCATAACCGTATTATATTTTAATTAAATTAGTTCTTTTACGGCTATATTAAACATATAGGTGTATAATGTTACGTCTATATTAAACATATCAAGTGTACGATTCATTCAGTGGATCATGATCGATATTATATTTAATTAAATTAGTTCTTTTACGGCTATATTAAACATATATGGTGTAAAATGTTTATGTCTAATTAAATATATCAGGTGTACGATTCATTCAGTGGACCATAACCGATATTATATTTAATTAAGTTAGTTCTTTTACGGCTTAAAAACATATAGGTGTAGAATGTTTACGTCTATATTAAACATATCAGATGTACGATTCGTCAGTAGACCATGACCGTATATATTTTAATTAAATTAGTTCTTTTACGACTATATTAAAATATATGGTATAGAATGTTATGTCATATTAAACATATCAGGTGTACGTTCGTCCAGTGGACCATGACCGTTATTAATTTTGATTAAATTAATTCTTTTACAGCTATATTAAAACATATATGATGGAGAATGTTACGTGTATATTAAACAGATCAGGTGTATGGTTTGTTCAGTGGATCAGATCGTATTATATTTTAATTAAATTAGTTCTTTTACGGCTATATTAAACATATATGGGTAGAATGTTTAGTCTATATAAACATATCAGGTGTACGGTTTGTTCAGTGGCCATGACCGTTATTATATTTTAATTAAATTAGTTCTTTTTACGGCTATATTAAACATATATGATATATAATGTTTACGTCTATATTAAATATATCAGGTGTACGATTCATTCAGTGGACCATGACCGTTATTATATTTTAATTAAATTAGTTCTTTTACGTCATATTAAAATATGTCCATAAATATGGAAAATAAATATTAAGTAAATTACCTAATCGTTTAAGCGATCTCGTCTATTTAGCCTTGGTCTACAGAGTGCAGAGTAGATGGTTGCAGAGTTCAATTTTATATCAATATTATATTTTTTTATATTACTTCTTGCCAAGAACTAACAAAATAATAGATAACAATAGATTTTTCAGTTTATATGTTGCTGATTGACAAAGAACGAAGTGTTCTTTTCACATTCTATTGAAATGAAAAAAATAATTAATAATTAATAATTAATGAAAAAGGACTAAATATTAAATAAACATTATGGAATATAATTTCTTACCGAAGATTGCTTACTGCATCGCTTAAATTGCTTACTGCATGCTTAGCGATCCAGTATATTGCTTAAGCGACCTAGTACAAATAAGCCTGATCGTTAAGCGATCTGCTGCTATATATCTGATCGCTTAAGCGATCGTTGCCATATACTAGACTTATACCAGTCGCTTAAGCGATCTTCTATCATATACCAGATCGCTTAAGCAATCTGGTACCAATAACCAGACTTAACCAGATCGCTTAAGCGATTTCTGTCATATACCAGACGCTTAAGCGATCCATCAGATCCAAAATACATTTTCAGCCATCTCCACCTGCACGATCCATCATACCCAGAAACACTACCCAGAACAAATTTTCAACAAATTTCACTCCTTTCAACTTGCATTACATCAAATACAACCCAACACCTAAACAACTAAATCAAATCATAACCTAAACCCCATCCATTATTAAACTTTGTAAATCTAAATATAAAATGTAAGAGAAGATACACATATTTACACGAAATGTCAGGAGGAGGGGGATCTTGGCGGTGAAGATATTAATGGGGAGGAAGAAGAAAGTGTTAATGGCGGAGGAATAAGAAGATATAGAGGAATGAGGAAGAAGAAGATGTAGAGGAAGGAGTAAGAAAAGATGTAGATGAAGAAGAAGATGCAGACGAAGAAGAAGATGTAGACAAAGCTGAGAAGAAACAGCAACCAAGGTGGAGATGCGTAATGGTGGGAGGAAGAAGAAGTGTTGGGTTTGTTTGCAAGAATTTCAGGTTTTTGGGAATATAGTATAATTTTTAAAGATATATAATACTTCATTATCCTAATTACCCAATCAATAATATGACTATTTAGAAAACTTTAAAAATTGATAGCTTTTAGTGTCTCAGAGTAGATACTAAGTACTAACCACACAGTGACATAAAATGAACACAGTGAAGATAGAACTGAATGGAAGACAACAATTTAGGAAGAGTTTTGTCTGGAAGTGGAAATTATAAAACGGTGATCAAGAAGCCAAGACCAACAGAAGCAGCCATGAAGCTTCATGGCTGCTATTAATCGGCGTAATAGCAGTACTGATATCATTAAGTTGACATGCATGCCCTTGCCCCGAAAGTCAAATTTTGAACATTTTTGTACTGCTTTGTTTCTAAACCTAATGTTGCTTCTCGGAAATTTCCTCGACTGATAACCTTGTTCGTTTTAGGTTGCTTGATTTTGATTTTACTTGTCAACTTGTCTCGAAAAAGAGAAATACTAAAAACAAAAGACATAATAACAAGAAGGAAATTTTCCTTCTTTTTTTATATTTCAAATCACTAACTTACCTTCATCTGCTTTTGCCATTTGTACTTTAGCTCACTCATGAATTACCTATCTACGTTAGGATTAATTACTGAAGCGTTGAAATCGCATAAATAACAGTTGCAGTATATATATCTGCTGATTCTATTAATTACACGCAAAATCTTTTAAACCACCAAGCTACTTACTTTTATTGGCTTAGTTTGTGTAATCATGTAAACCATTTAAACAGCTTCTCTTAGTTGAGATCAATAAAATCACAAGGTTAGTAATGCCAAGAAGAGGAAACAGCTATGAAACTTCCATGGTGTATAAAGTTTAGAAGGCTGGATTTGATTTACAAACCATAGGATTTAGAAAGAGAGAATCGAAACGTCACTGTTGTATGGTGGGGACAACTTATTGGCTATGGTTTTATATGCATCAAGGGTCGTATTCTCTATGTTTATTGGTGTTCAGTAAAAGTGAAACTACTTCGAGACGCAGTAAAAGTGGAAAGAATGCAGGCAAAACAAAACCCTGTTATTGTGCTTTTGATTACCCTCCTGCCTTGTCTTAGAGAATCACGATGCAATGAAAAGCATTCAGTAGTTGAAGAATGTGAATAATTGACGCAAGATTCAGCATTTGGAGGCATTAACTGAAAGTGAGAATCTATATATGTAATGAAAGACAGTGGTAGTATGAGTTTTGAGGATACTTAATTCTCATGGTTATAAAAGATAACAAAACTTCTAATAACCACGAAATATCTTCTGTCTTACTAAATCCTTACTGGGCTTGAATGGTTCTAGTATTTCCTCCATCATATGCTATACTACCAAGAACCTGATCAGGGGTGACATTAGAATTCAAATTCTGAACCAGCTTTCAATTTTGATCAGTAAAAATTAGAACGAGGAACTTTAAGAGGCAACATAAACAGCATATGTAAAACCAATAATTAGCAAGGGTTGGCCAATGAGTTAACAGAAATGATGAAAATATTAGGCATTTTCAATAGAAAATTTTGATAATTGCACTAGCACAACTCAAACATTTAGAGTTTTTACATCAATTTTTACTTATTTTTTTATTTCTACTAATGATAAAAGCAGTTGCTTTCACCCAAAGAAGAAAAAAATAAAGAAAGAAACAGTTCATAGGTGAAGGAGATTCTGTAATTTGAAAATAAAAAAAGTGTCCTTCTGAATGGACCACAGGGTGATGTATTCCGTGTCATTGAGATAAAGAGAGAGTTTATAAATGTAGAGCTAGGCACGTACTAAAGAAGTGCACTTCTCATTTCTGCATATTTTCTCCACTTTTGTGCAACTGTGGTCGTAACTCTGAGGGCATATAAATTAAAAATCTAGAAATAAATCTCATAGTGAGACTCGTCCCTCGTTGTACGTTCACTCACTCTTGCTTAAAAGTTGGAAGCTATCTACATGGCTCAAACTCGGATGAATCGCAGAGCTTTAGCAGCAGCAGCTGCTGCAGGGATGGTGTTTCTGGGTTTAGTGATGACGGAACAAATGGTGGGTGCAGAGAGATTACTGAAGGATAAAGATCCGGATCAAGTTTTTGCTGATCAGAGAGAAATGAGACCAGCACTTTTACTTAGAGTAGTACATTTCTTTTGGCAGGGTGGCAAGTCCTCTTATGAACCTGTTTGGCCGGTGAGCTTTTCACTCGTTTTCTATTTTCCTACAATTTTAATGGTGTTTTATAAGTTATATTTCTGGTTGTAGAGCAATAACATCCTAACAAGAGGAAAGCTTATTGCAGCTAGCTTCAGCTAGTTTGTGTACTACTTTTCTGTTTTAGTGTTTTAAAGTAAGTGAATCACATTGAGTACTGGTTGATCAGGAGATGAAGTTTGGGTGGAAAATTGTCGTAGGATCAATAGTTGGATTCTTTGGTGCGGCATTGGGTAGCGTTGGAGGAGTTGGAGGTGGCGGAATTTTTGTTCCTATGCTCACATTGATCATTGGTTTTGACCCCAAGTCTGCCACCGCCATCTCTAAATGTCAGTACCTAAAAGCTTTCTTCAATTTTAATTAATATCATTGTCAATTTGTACAGATCAATTCGTAGAGATATAAACTATATATATGTACGTCCAACTAGTTTTTCACTCAGAAGATCACGAAAACTCAATTTGGTGCATTCAAGCATGTATAATTTAAGTTTCTTCCCAGAAATTATAAGAACACTGATAAAGGATTCATGCTCATACATGTATACAGAGCTAACAGAGTATGGTTTTTTAAATTGATAGATTTGATGCTGTGAGGTGCATCTAATTTTTGGAGTGGTCTAAATATTGAAAAAAAAAAAATGTGTGATTATAGTTTGTGCTATAATTAATATATAATTGTGAATTGTTTTTGTAGGCATGATCATGGGAGCAGCTGGATCAACAGTTTACTACAACCTGAGACTGAGGCACCCAACTCTGGAGATGCCTCTCATTGATTATGACCTGGCACTGCTATTTCAGCCTATGCTAATGTTAGGAATCAGCATTGGAGTTGCCTTCAATGTCATGTTTGCAGATTGGATGGTCACTGTTCTACTCATCATCCTCTTCTTGGGTAATTTCAATTAATCTCCAACCATATAATTACCCTTTATCCTGTTTCAATTAATTTCTCAATAAAGAAACTAACGCCAGCTATATATGGCTGCAGGTACATCAACAAAAGCGTTGATGAAAGGCATAGAAACATGGAAAAGAGAGACATTAATGAAGCAGGTATTAAATTTTCTACTTACAAATCTAGAGCTTTTATGAATTATTTGCAACTTATTAATGATGAATTTGAGATTCTGTTGGACTAACAGGAAGCAGCCAAGGCGTTGGAATCTGAGTCCAAACCCGTTGGTGAGTGTCCTTCCCATACACAGTCCTGCCATAAGCGTATAGTATTTTTGGAGCTTTGTCATGGATCAGACCCATTTAAAAATCCAATATGAAAAGAGCAGTGATCAACAATCCTGTTAATAAAACTTTCATTTGACATTTGGGTACCTTCTACTGCTAAGAAAAATAGAAATATGAATAAATTATTATACGTTAATTTTCTTTTTGTTGGTAAAATTGCTGATATTACTAGAGCAAATGTTGAGTTCAGATATCCAATATAGACTCAAACTACATTCTGGAAGGGTTATTTAATTTACCCCAATCTGCTTAGAGACCCACATATATGATCAAAGAGGATAAACCATTTACTTGAATGTCTTGTGATAGATGCCAAGCCAAAGAAACTGATCATATATGGGGTTTCGTTAAATGTCATTGATAAAAATCTCAACTGCAGATGGTCAAGAACAAGATTACAAACGACTACCGAGTGGTCCGGCTGACTTACACGATGAAGAGGTGAGTACAATAAATTTTATCATTTTATACAGTAGCAGTATCTGTTCAAAAAATTCTTTAAAACAGGTCAATTTCTTATTGTTTTGATCCAGGTTTCCCTGATCCAAAACATTTACTGGAAGGAGTTATCATTGCTTGTGTATGTGTGGATAGGTTTTCTTGTTGTTCAAATCGCTAAGGTAATCAATTTTTCTTTACAATGAATAAACTTCCTTTAGATTTGGCAACCAAATGCCAAAAAGTTCCTCCTCTCTTTCTAATCAGTTTTAGTAAGAGTTATCTGCAATTGCAAATCACCATTATTTTGCCTTATGTTTAGTTTTTTACTCTTATGGCATTTATGAATCTCTATGCAGGAATACGTTGAAACCTGCTCCATTGCATACTGGATTCTGAACTCCTTGCAGGTAAGTTCTACCACCTCAATTGTAATACTCCTTCAACGAATTTACCTATACAATACGCATGAAAGCAAGGCCGCTTAATATTTGGAACTTAAAAATATAAGGAGAGAGGGGAAGATGAAGAAACTTACTTAAGATTGGATGAGAAAACTGTTCACTAGAATCTCATCCTATTTTTTATATGTTATATCCTATTAAGCTCTTACAATTTCAAAAACGAACATCTTATATTTTAAATGTGAGTGACAGCAGGACTTCAGGGGAGATAGAATTTGCATTCTGGAAAAACATTCCTCCACTGAGCAGATAACCTTTTGATCCTAAGTATGAGATCTTAAAACTCTCCTCCCTAAAGAAAATTTTCCTTTCCTACCTTGATTTAATAGGAATTGGCTAACCTAGAGTGGCGCCTATATGGTTTTCTAGTTTCTAGTAATTCTCATCATCAAATAATCGTAAGCTAGGGTGAATATTGCAAATAAGCAGATTATAATATGATGCATTGTTGTTCCTAATTTAGCCTCTTTAAATTAATTTACCAATGAGTTGGAAATATTTAGTAAAGCATTAAACAAATAGTTCAATCTGGTTGGATCTCTCTTGCAGTGGAGTAAGAGGTATAGGAATCAATCCCCTTTATACAACCTTGGAGAGGGATATAAATGAACTTGTTTTTTAAGCAAAGAGAGGGATGGTGTGGGTTGTTTGATTATATAAAAAGTTACAATCAAGCTTTAATGGGTTAAAACCCAGTATTTGTGGACATGGTATGTCCATCCAGCCGAAACAAGTAATTCATAATACTAGAAGCACCTTTCAATTCTTAGCCTCTAGGCACTGGCCTGCGCATGGTTGTCATGCATGAATATGATAAAAATAAACTTTCTATAGCCAATTTTCACTAAGAAGCTCATCCAGGATGCCTTCACTTATGATGTAGAGAATGCATCAACAATTTGAAAAGTTATGTTTTCTCATTGATTAGATCCATTCATCACAAATCCTGCATTTGTAGGTACCTATTGCTGCCTCTGTTACACTCTTCGAAGCTATATACTTGTACAAAGGAAAGAGGGTGATTGCATCAAAGGGAAAAGAAAGTACAAATTGGAAGATACATCAGGTTTTGTTTTACTGTTCCTGTGGGATAGTAGCTGGTATGGTGGGTGGATTACTTGGGCTAGGAGGAGGTTTTATCTTGGGACCACTTTTTCTTGAATTGGGAATTCCCCCTCAGGTATGCATCTACTATTGTCAAGCTTCTTCAATAAACGAAAAAAGGTGATGGAAGGAAATGGTCACCAGAAGACATAGAAAGATAAACATTTTATACTTGCAATAAGTTTCATATCATTTCCAATAGTCAAACATATGTTTCCTATCCCCACCCCCAGTTTTGAATATCACTCAATCTATTGCCATAACCATATGGCGCTTTAGTAGAAGGGTGAATTTAGATTATTACACTTACAACAAAATCTGATATTCAACTTTGTTATTCATATGAAACACACAACAAACTAATAAGTAACAGTTTAGTACCTTGCCATCGTCCAAATCAACTCAAATGGCCACAGTTTAGAGGACATGTTCAACCCTTTCAATCTGCTACATGCTACACCGCACCTCATCCCAACCCGCCTGAAACAGGGACGGGCAAGTGGTGGAGGGGCATAGTGTACACCTTTTTGCAAAAGGATATGAACACCAACTCATAAAATTTGTACATTTTTTGGCAGGTAGCAAGTGCCACATCAACATTTGCAATGGCATTTTCATCCTCAATGTCAGTTGTGCAATATTATCTTCTCAACCGTTTCCCTGTCCCGTATGGTAAGTGATAGCAGTGAAACATAGAAGTAGAATCATTTGCCAGAAGTGAAACTCATATTTAACTATTTCTATTATATAATATATCAAGATTAATCTGGCTCTATATCTACTTGGCTGCAGCTGCTTATTTTGTTTTGGTTGCGACAATAGCTGCCTTCACTGGTCAGCATGTAGTGAGAAAGTTAATTGCATTCCTTGGCAGGACGTCAATAATCATTTTTATACTAGCTTTGACAATCTTTGTGAGTGCCATCAGTTTAGGTAAGAGGTTCTTCAGCTTCTTTGATTTAATTTGAAAGCGCAACTTCAATCAAAGATGTTTAATTTCAAATTTCTGGAGGATAGCACAAAATTATCGATTTTCTAATCATATATTGCAGGTGGAGTGGGCATCGAAAACATGGTTGAGAAGTTGGAGAATAGAGAATACATGGGATTCGAAAATCTGTGTCACCAATCCTGAATTCTATTGGTATAGTAGTGTGAGCAGACTACCCTCAACTGCATTCAGTTTCATTGTAACCTATTTTGTCCATTTACAAATGTTAGTAGACATTCTGCTAAAACTTCTCCAGCAAAGTTTCATTATGTTTATTTCTTCTTTCTCCCAGCACAGTATTTGTAATGGATTCTCAAAAGAAATTTGTGTCAAAGGCCTCTTATCAAAAAGGTCATTGTAAGAAAATCTTTGGGAAATTAATGTAAGAAGTCTGAGACTTTAAATTTTTCAGTAAATCTTATAATTGGAAAAATGACAATAAAAGTACTGTATTAAATTGTGCTCTTGCTATACTTATTTCCTATTCTTGTCAGAAAATCCATTGTTTTCGGTCAATTGGTCTCTCACTGGCATTGGCGCTTGTTTGGTGAATTGGTCGCATACATGAGCACTCTATTTATTTATCATATATAACAATTTTATTCTTGAAAACTCTTTAATTCGGAGCAATTCCTGAATTCTTCTACGCCAGAAGATCATTGTAGCCGTATATAATTTCATATTAGAAGACAATAATTTTATTAATTTCAATATATTTTATGTAGTGTATATATATATATATATCAAAATACTTTAATATCTTTAATGTGGACATTAGTCCATACGTACTGTTTATTTTATTTTTTATTTTTTTTGGTGATCGATGTATCCAAATTAGTTTATGCACATTTTAACTAATCTTCGAAATCTATTAAACACCCTACAAGATCAAAGGATTAGTTAAGCCACAACAGTTTATGCGCGTCTCAACTAATTTTTTTGGTCTATTGAACACTCTACAAGTCCAAAGGACGAGACCTCAAGGTTTGAACCCAAAAACTCAAAAAAATGAGCAAACCTCTTTGACCGTAAGCCAACCCCTTAGACCATCTCCAAGACTACAACCACAAACACCAAATTAGTGCAACTTTCATACTATTTTTCTATTACATCTCCAATTCATTACACTAAATATTATATCAAAATGAATATTTTTTAGAATATTCTATTTTTTATTTCTATTAATTCTAAGAAATTAATTTATTTTAGTAATTATTTTTTATATATTATATTAGTTAACTACTAATAATAACTTTGAAAATTATACTAATTTAATAAGATTAAATATTTACTAAATCAAGTAAACATTATATTTAACATATAAAAAAAATTAAATCTAATATAAAATGTCACAAAAAAAAAAAGCACAAAAATAAAATTTTATATTGATAGTACTTTAATACACCATAATACTAAATTGTTATTATAGTTTATATTGTATTTTCTTTTAATTTAAGTGTTTTTAAATTAGTGACAATTTATTTTGAGTAATTGAAGTTTAATATTTGTATTGTAATAAAGTTTTGTTTTTAATTTTTTATCATTTTTTAAATTATATAATTATTATAAATAATAATCAAATTAACATAAATATAAATTTTAAAAAAATTAAATAGAAAAAAATAAGAAAATAAAAGATGTTTAGTGTAGAAAATTAATATCACACCAAATTGATGTAGATAAATAGCATTACATTAAATTGGTGTGATACTAACCATCCACACCAAATTGGTATAGCTTTTAATATATGGTTCTTGGCACTTCTTGCAAAATTTGGACAATGGTGTCCCATTGGAGATGCAGTTCGGGTTCAATACATGCGTTAATGTCCCCCACAAAATGGGTCAGTACTGTCAAAGGGAGAAAGGCGCCAGTACAGTACCCTTCATAGTATTATGCTCCAATGAAATTGTTTATTTTATTATAAAAGAGAATATACAGTGAACAGGGTTTGAATAGTGAAGATCTCACACAATCCAAAGCCATTGGACATATCAATTAAGCATGCTCCATTAATTCGGGGAAACAGTTATACTCCTCATGGAAAACCCCAATATAACCCAAATAAGGCACCGAAATTTGCATTTATTTATAAATAAAAATATAAAATCCTGCCAAGACAACTGGCAACACTCAGCTGGTTGGAACAGTAATTAATTGCATTTTTTAGGGTAAAGTTAAACACTAGTTTTCCCGCCCAAACCCAATGGCCAATGAACCAATTAAAAATAAATAATGTGGTTTATTTACTTAAAAGTTAAACCTTTTTAGTGTCCTACCATTGTTATTTCTTGCAGACGTCCCATTTCTTTTGGTCTGGTCTGCTCTGTTGTGGCGAGGCTCCGTTTCTTTGCCATTTTAACTTGTAAAAGCTACTGGTAAGTGCGGTTGTTGTTCATACATTTCGTGCTTTGATTTCTTCAGAAATATCATTTTTAACTGTGTTATGTGTGGGATAAGCCGAAGCCCTAGGCTTAACGGTTCTGGAAATGATTTTTTTTTTTTTTTCTAATTACTTTTTGTTTCAATGCGTTTTATGTAAAGAAAATCTCATTCTCACGGAGAATTTGTTGATTACTGTACCCATTTTTAGGGTTCGAAATGGTGGCCGAGGACGAAATCAATAACGCTGATGCTTCTGCTGAGTCTCCTACTTCGGTCCTTGAAGATGAGGTTTGCTTTCGCTTTACCGTATCTATCTATTTATTCTTTTTGTTACCCTTTGGTTCTTTGGATAACGTGGGAAAGTAGAAAAGTTTGTTCAAGGTTCTTTTTGTGCTGTAAAAATTAATGTTGAGATTCTTGAGAAGGAAAGGAAAAGGACTTGAAAGTAGCTTCCATTTTTAAGGCTCAAGTACTTTATCCTCTCTTTATGTTTTATTTTACTGTCTTTTGTAAATGAAAAAGGCTGGCTAATACTTCTCTCAAGTGTTTGGGTTTTCACCTTTGTACTCAATGTGTGGTGTCGCACCTCTAATTTTTACTCAAAATTTTGGAAAATGTAGGAATTAGGTACTATGTCAGAGAGTTGTGTGAATGTGTGATATCTACTTGTTTGGGTTTGCATTTGATTCAATCTGTATCAATGAGCTTTGCCGTAGAGATCATATCTGAAATTTTGATTGACTCTGTTACCTTTTTCCTTTGGGCAAAGGACATATGCAAGGACAATATTGGAGTCAAGTTGGATGAAGAAACACGTTTAAATACAAAAGTTGAAGGTGCCTTTCTTATATCTAAATCCATTATAGAGGAGGAGGTAAAGTTACTAGAAGCTCGGGTGGGAGAAGATGGGGAGCAAGAGAAAGAGCCCAAGAATGAAGCCTGTTTGAATGACATGCAGTTTACCAAGTTGGATGAGCTCCTCACTCAAACACAGATGTACACAGAGTTTTTGCTGGACAACATGGAAGACATCACAAATGTACCCTCTCAAGCTTCCTTTATAGATGAATCTTCTTAGTTAAGAACTATTTTTTCTCATGGCTGATTAAGTTTGGTGTGAATCACATTGCTAGAATGGAGTGGAACAGGAGAGTGAACCTGTGATGAAAAAGAAAGGCCGTGGATCAAAAAGAAAAGCAGCAACCCAATGCAATACTGTAATATTTTCTTTACTTTTACCATGTGGATATATTGCATGATATTATATTTTGGCCTATTAAAACAGTGATGGGATACATTTTAGATTGTTTTGATATCTTATTAAATTATGTGATAACTATGTGACATCATCAGAGGAAGGCCAAGAGAGCAGTTGCAGCAATGCTAACAAGATCTAAGGAAGGAGGAATAGCTGAAGATGAGAGCCTGAATGAGGAAGAAAGAGTTCATAAAGAGCAGAGAGAACTCGTGCCTTTGTTGACTGGTGGAAAATTGAAATCTTATCAAATCAAAGGTGTTAAGTGGTTGATCTCATTGTGGCAAAATGGGTTGAATGGAATTCTTGCAGATCAAATGGGCCTTGGAAAGACAATTCAAACAATTGGTTTCCTTGCACATTTAAAAGGAAATGGATTAAATGGACCCTATTTAGTAATTGCCCCACTTTCTACTCTCTCAAATTGGGTGAATGAGATTTCAAGGTAACTTTATATCGTCAATTTTCTATATACCAGTATATGGATCAAGACAATCTTTTGAGTGTTATTATGTTCTTCTGGAAATGTTTTGATAGGTTTGTGCCCTCAATGAATGCAATTGTTTACCACGGAAGCAAGAAAGAGAGGGAAGAACTACGAAGGAAACACATGCCTCGTGAAATCGGCCCAAAATTCCCTATAGTTGTCACTTCTTATGAGGTTGCATTATTTGATGCAAGAAAATCTTTAAGGCATTACAATTGGAAATATGTTGTTATTGATGAGGTAAGTCTTATAAGTAATTCACAAATTTGGTTGCCTCTCCAAATATATATTAATGGAACCTTTAGGATGAGTAATTTGACTTTATTCAATCTTAACTGTATCTTTGCATGAAGGGGCACAGGTTGAAAAATTCGAAGTGCAAACTGCTAAAGGAATTGAAACATTTACCTATGGGAAATAAGCTTCTATTAACCGGGACTCCACTGCAGAATAATTTGTCCGAGCTTTGGTCATTGTTACATTTCATTTTGCCCGATATCTTTTCATCCCTTGAAGAATTTCAGTCATGGTTTGTATGCATTTCCTATTAACCTATTACTTATTATATTCCAACCATGTGATCTTTGTTGATAATGGCCATAGAGACCTGAGTAAATTCACCTTATCTTAATGCTTTTACTTTCTATTAAGAAAAGAAACTAGCCCCAAGAGTTGGGTTAAGTGGTAAAAACCCTTGATTTCGACCAAGAAGCTTCAAATCTCTTGACCATCTGCTTGGGATATTATGCTCTAAAAGTTTTCTAGCCATTATGGCTGTAAGGTTTGAAAGTAGTTACTAGTTTAGGACTTGGTGAATACCTAGAAAAGATTAAAGGATTTTCGGTTGTAAAATAAAAAGAAAAGAAGTGTACCTTATGTCCACCTACATTCAATTTGAGTGCATGACTTTGTGCATTCATCCAAAGGGCTATATGCGGTCTTCTGTTCTTTACTTCTTTCAAATCTATAAATTAAATGAAATATACTTGGAGCCAATTAATGTCATCTATGGTTCCATAATGTTGCAATGGTTTGAATTTTGGCCACCTTTTTGAAGTGGAGTTACCTTGGGCAATTTATTGATTCATTGTCATTATCTATATATTCATCTTTTGAAATTCACCATATGGATTTTCAAGTTATACAAAATAAAGGGAAATTCTATATTTTAGTTTTCGGCTTTTGGTTTTACACTATTTCGAAAACTGCGTTTAGTGTTTCGAAGTATACAATGGAACCAAAATGTCCTCTATGGTTCCTAAATATTGTAATGGATTGGGTTTTGGCCACTTTTTCAGAGTGGAGTTACCTTGGGTGACGCTATCAATTCAATATCATTATCTATGTATACGTCTTTTGTTAAAAAGATTAGGGGCTGAGTAATCCTGGCCTTTTCTTTTGAAATTCACTTGATAAGTTTCTGCTAACTAAAAGCCTCTCCATATATATTCTTGTCTTTGTGACCTAGATTTTCAGTAAATGCAATCACCAAACCGAAAAAATGAAAAATAACTAAAGAGAACATCAAAAGTGAATAAGCCCTATGCAATTGGTTATGGGAAATAGGTTGTGGTATGAGAGTGTTAGTGTATATAAGAATTCTCAAAAGCATTGTCTTTCCTTCATTTTTAGAACACAGTATGGACGCATAAAACTGCTGTTTATGCTGGTGTGTGTCAAAGTTTAATCCTGCTACCAGTTATGGATATCTCACTGATGGTTTTTTATATGTATGATGATTACACATGTGAATGATAAACTCTTAGTTAATGACATCTATGTATTCAGGTTTGATTTGTCAGGAAAGTGCAACTCTGAAGCTCCAAAAGAAGAGGTTGAAGAGAAAAGAAGAGCACAAGTATGAATCCTTGTTACATAGCGTCTTTACTTTTATTAAACATTCCTTTTATGAATAAAAATCAAGGATTCTATCACCCACAGGTGGTAGCTAAACTCCATGCTATATTACGCCCCTTTCTTCTTCGAAGAATGAAGTCTGATGTTGAGCAGCTGCTCCCTCGTAAAAAGGAGATCATATTATATGCTACCATGACTGAGCATCAAAGAAACTTCCAGGATCATTTAGTCAATAAGACATTGGAAAATTACTTACTTGAGAAAGTGGCCACAGGTATAAGATCTCCCTTGATATTGGTAGCCATATTGTGATATCAGTTTAATAGAAGAGAAGGTGCCACCTGTCATCTAACTTTTCATGATGAACCTTCCTATTGGTGTATATCTGATTGGAGTTATTTTGCGGAATTCTTTGATATGTATTGATATGTTAAGACTTCATGTTGTTATTATTAACAGGCAAGAATTTCAGGTGATTTAAGAAACATATTCCAGGAAAATGTTCTGATGAGGCAATGTTTAAATTGGGTAGTTGCAAGGATAGTTTAACTTCTAAGCATGAAAGGATAAATTTGTCACTGCATCAATACTTGTCTTGATTGATTGAAAAAAAAAAAGTATCACCATGACCTTACGATTAACCATCTCGCATCTTTCCACCAAGGGTCTTATAGGTATGCCCTGTATAGTTTTCTTAAAGGATCAGATAGCTTAATTACTCGAATCTTGCAATAATAGGTTCTGGAATGTTAAAGAATGTCTTAATGCTTTTATTGTTTAATTATTTAATGGTCCCGTGGAGTTCTTTTTCTGTTTTTTGTTTTATGATGGAGTTAAAGGTCAGTTGGGATATTGGTTGAGCATAGAATATGTCAGTTTTAGAAATTCTTTTCCATTTCATGGATGCTCTTGATGGTTATTACATCTGATGATTGATTTCAATCTTCTTCTATCTGTCTTTTTTTTTTTTTTAAATATTTTGTGTAAATTGTCTCTGCTTATTTACAATCTGTAATGTTGTAGGAGGAGGCATGAAAAGAAAACTTAACAATTTGATGATTCAACTTCGGAAGAACTGCAACCATCCTGACCTCTTAGAGTCTGCATTTAGTGACTCAGGTATCTTCTTTACAATCCACGCAGTGATTCTACTGTGACTGGTCTACTGCATGACTCACTCCAACTTTTGGACCTTTCAACAGTATTTTACCCACCTGTCGAGCAGATTGTTGAACAGTGTGGTAAATTCCGCTTGCTGGATAGGTTGCTGGCTCAGCTATTTGCCCGCAAGCACAAAGTATGACATATATTTATTGTAAGTTTGTGTATTTCTTGTTACATATAGCTCTGCTTATCTTCAATTTTCTCTGCAAACAGGTCCTCATCTTCTCTCAATGGACTAAGGTTTTGGATATAATGGACTATTATTTTAGTGAAAAGGGATTTGAAGTTTGTAGAATTGATGGCAGCATGAAGTTAAATGATAGGAAAAGACAGGTTTGTTCCACCTTACTGTTTTTTATTTCATGTATTTGTATAAATGATAAATTTATTGTTTTCAAATCTTGGATTTAGGTATGCACAAAAATTTCCAAACTAGCTCAAAAAACTGTTAATTATGTAACTTTTTGGTATTTCATTGGAATTATATGACGGCAAAAAGCTGCCAAGTATAATGAGGGTTACATATTAATTTGTTTGTAGAGCTTTCACTGATATCAGTTCTTTTATTGTCTATAGGTTTATAGTCACTCTGTTGGGGGTTATTTTTCCTTATTGAGAAAAATGTAAATTTGTTAGGTTTTGAAAAATATTTGTTTTTTCTTTTACTACCATATTTGTGTTGACAGGGGATGTCTTTTTTCCTTGGTGACAACACTAAATTTTTTAGCATATCTGAGATAATTGCAGTTACCACCCTGGCGTTTAGGTCTACTAGGTCTAAATCCTGCAGTTTAAACTAATGGAATAGATCCTCTAATTCTAAAAGACTTTAAATCATGTAAGGGCAGAATAGGTATATTTTATATATTATATTTTTTCGGGTTAATGTCACCTTAAGGGCATTTTTGTTTCTACATAAAAGAATGTTGTTTTAGAGTTAGGATTTAATTAACCGCAGTTAGTTTGAGGGAGGTATTTCCTAGTGCTTGAAAGGCCAGGATCTTGACTCTTGTAGACCAAAAGCTCAGGGTGGATTAAGTCTCTCTCTGTATATTCGCATCATCTTTTGGTATTCTTTGTTTGTGTTAGATAAATGTTGATAAAGTTTAAATAAATTTTGTGGATTACCTAATTATCTTTTGCCAACAGATTGAAGAGTTCAATGATGTCAACTCCAAATGTAGGATATTTATTCTGAGCACTAGAGCTGGTGGACTGGGTATTAACCTCACTGCAGCTGATACCTGTATACTGTATGACAGTGACTGGGTATATCCTTTTTTAACCCTTGAACTTCAGTTTCTTTTTTCTTTCTTTTTGAACTTCATTTTCTTTTAAGTTTCTTTAATCAAGTCAGGAAGCTCTAAATGAATTCATTATGTTTCGTTTGCATCCAGAACCCTCAAATGGATTTACAGGCTATGGATAGATGTCATAGGATTGGCCAAACCAAGCCTGTTCATGTTTACAGGCTTGCAACAGCTCAATCTGTTGAGGTAATTAAATGATGGTCTTTGTCTTTTGGCTTTCTAGAAGTTAACGCTATTTTGAGTATTTGTAATAAGTTGAGGATGTGTGTGTTAACAGGGTCGGATTTTGAAAAGAGCTTTTAGTAAGTTGAAGCTTGAGCATGTTGTGATCGGGAAAGGGCAGTTCCATCAAGAACGGATCATGGGCAATGGTACAGATATCTTGGAGGTGTGTTTTTTAAATCTTTATTTTGCAATTATGTTAATTAATGTATGTTGTCCTGACAGTTCTTTATTGAGTATGCTGCAATTCACTCAAGGATTTTAGGGAATCCAATGGATGTAGTTTCTTAGCTTGACTATGTTTTTGCTCTCTAGGAACACATCTTCTTTCATTACAGTGTGCCTTTTGGCTTTAGGTTTTATAAATTTAATTCTATAATAGCTCTACTTTTTTGCAATCTGATATATGTGAATGATCATGTGTGTTATACATTCATATGGCAATGGTTGGCTTTTCCCTATCATTGATATATTTGTTGTTAATTTTAGGAAGAGGATCTACTGGCACTTCTTAAAGACGAAGAAACTGCCGAAGACAAAATGATTCAGACAGATATTAGTGATGAAGATCTGGAGAAGGTGTTGGATAGAAATGATCTAATGGGAGTTCCATCAGATGATGAAGAGAAAAAGCCCAATGCAAATGCTCTTTTCCCTCTTAAAGGACCTGGTTGGGAGGTTGTGATACCAACAGCAACTGGAGGCATGCTCTCTACCCTCAATGTCTAAAAGGTTCATGTCGTGTCTTCAATTTTCAAATTTTTGGAAGCAGATAAGTGTGGGAAGAGCTCTATTTATTTTTGTGAGCTGAGAAATGAAGAGCTTTATCCATTACTGCTGTTTTGTGAAGCTCTATTCTTTGGAGCCAACTTCTCAATGTCTGTTAATGAAGTTAGATACGAGTAAATTTGAAAGGTTTAGAGGGACACATGGCGATTCTTTTGATGGTTAGGAACAGTTAGTAATAGCCGTATCATACTCTCTTAGTGGGATCATATCATGTCTTCAAATTTTCATCAATTTTCAGCGGATGATGCATTTCACCCTGAAATTCCAAATAGTAACTTTATATCCTATAACTACGAAAACTATCAAGAACACCCCTTGTTTGTTTTTTCTTTTAAAATGGATGGAAAACCAAGTTTGACCATTGCAATTATATTTGCCCATAATTTTAACGGTAAGAGATGTTCTTAGCATTGTTTTAAAAGTCGGATCGGAGGGCAATCTGCTCTGTTACTCAAGTCATAGTTCAATTGGTTCAACCATTGGTGTTATCACATATCATGATAATGTTAGTATATTTTTTTAAAAAAACCTGTTTTTTTTAGATTTCTATTTTTTAATAAGACAATAACAACTTAATTACTGTCTAACATGATTTAAAGTTCAAATTCAACAACAATCTCAACATAATTTAAGTATTTAACAATAATCCAAAGTCTAAATCCAAACATGATGTTATATTTACATTTTAAATGACAAAATACATAATAATTAATAACAAAACATTTGATGCAAGTGTTTTTTCTTTGATCCGTCTCTATGTTGATTGAGCTTCACATATTAGCATCAAAATTTATCACCATCACCTACGTAAATTTCAGTAAAAAATAAAAATCATAAGTTAAAACTTGTAATTTAATTTAAATAGATACTAAGTTGCTTAAATAATTGAAACCAACCTTCTGAACCATCGGTTGAATCATAAAAAGAAAGGTGATTAGCAACTCCAGTAGGAATAGATCATTCTCCATATAACATTTGTTCCGACTCCTCATAATTAAGTTCGTTGACCTCCTCTTCATCGTCAACTATCCAACCTTCAGTTTTGTTGATACTTTCATAATCAATAGGATCGAAACTTATTCTCTTGTAACACTTCCTAAAATACCATAATAAAAAATTAAAAGCATGACAAGTAAAATATCAAGGAAAATAATAGATAATAACAATAAGAGTGATGCATAATTGAATAATTGACAATGTTTTATACCTGTTTTGCAAACGCAAGTTATAGTGAACGAAAACAAGATCATTCAACCTTTGATGCTCCAATCTATTCCTCTTTTTAGTATGTATGCGCTAAAAAACACTCCAATTTCGTTCACATCCCGAAGAGCTTGAAGTTTGACTAAGAATTTTTATTGCAAACTTTTGCAAATTTGGAGTACAATACCCAAATGATCTCCACCATTCATCTAATTGAAAATTAAACATAATAAATAAATTAGACTTAGAAACAAAAGAACTCATAAATTTTATAACTATTACGTACTAGGACGTGTGGTTTTGGCAGTTTCAAGAGCAAGCCCACAAGAAAAGCTTTCCTCCTGGTTTGAATATAATCCACTCTCTTCCATTAACCTTGTCTTGTTCAAATTGAAAGCACTTGCTTTACTGTCAATAGTATCAAGGAAACCACTCATGACTTATGGCTTGACACAAAAAGATTCTTCGTCATATTTAAAGGCAGGATTCAAATAATAAGCCGCAGCATGGATATCATGACGCAACGTCCTATCCTAGCATAGCTTAATGATTCGTATATAAGGCTTGTCCTATCCTAGCATAGCTTAATGATCGTGTATAAGGCTTGTACAATCTCTTTTTATTCTTAAACAACTTCTTAATTGCCTTTTTCGCTCTGTACATGTCATCATACACATATCCTATTATTGGCTTCTCATCTGAGTCAATAATCCGCAACAAGTGCATCAATGGACTCACAACTTTGGATATCTTACCCATATCATCCCAAAAATCGTTATCTAGAATTATGTCAATAACATATTTGCCTTTATTACTTTTTGCATATCGAGAATCGACAAATAACCTATTTGTCACCATGGCTTGTGCTCATGAATGCTTCTCATTGCAATGAAAGTTGTAGCAAAACGGGTTGCGCCCGGACAAACAATTTCTTTCCAACCCTGTTCAATTGATAAATAATAGATGTTAGTCAATTATAAAAAATGCATATTATGTTATGACTTGACAAGAACATGAGCTGAAGGTATATTACCTGTCTTTTCCTCAACCAAGCTATCAAGAATGTATGATTATATATAAACTTTGTCACCTCAGAAGCACGTCTCGCAAGATAAACTATGTGATCCATCTCAACTATGTCTTTTAACACCAAATTTATGCTATGTGCTACACAGGGTGACCAAGTAATACTCAGATATTTCTTAGACAACATTCTTCTAGCAGCTTTATAATTGGATCCATTGTTTGAGACAAAATGGACAATACTATTTGGTCCAACCCATAAAGCTACCTCCTCAAACATCTTCAACAATGTCCCAACATCCTTCACAACATCTGAAGCATCAATTGATTTCACAAAACGAACTCCCTTAGGACAATACACCATAAAATTGATCAATGACCTATGTGAATTATTAGTCCAACCATCAGTCATTAAGGTACATCCAACATTTTCCCAAATCTTTCTGTAACTATCAACAAGAAGTTGCACTTCCTTCTTAGCATCTCTTAACAAATTGACACGCAAACCATGATAATTTGAGTGTTTATACCTAGGCCCAAGTGCAACTATAGCATCCACCAAAGACTGAAGATAAATTGAATTTACAACATTAATTGGGATGCAAGCATCATAAAAGAATCTTGCAAAAGCCATGTCTGCTCTCCACGTCGCATCTTTTCCAGCTAAACAACTCCTAATTGATGGTTGAGATCCACCAATTGTCCTAGGAGCAAAATAGTCACCAAACCCAATAGATTTTTTTCTCTTTGATTTGTCTAGCATTGTACTTTGTTTTTTACTACCAAACCTACCTTCATTTATGTGAATTTCTGATGGACGAAACTCTTCACTATCTTCATTTAACATATCTCCCTCAAATCCATGTACGGGAGCACCGTAGGGAGTATTATACTTACTAGAATCAGCCTTCTCTTTATTCTTTATCCCAATATCTTTTAGTGATTCTCTTATCAAGTATTGAAGATCAAAAGGAACTTTTAAACAAGCACAAACATCCCCCTTTGTCCTATCTAGATGTTGTTTCATTCTAAAAATACGTCCTCCTCTAGTTACTTTCCCACCGTGAAGACATTTTAATGTCTTCCTTCCATTTGGATCTACACCCTCAATAACATGTGCCAATGTTATATCAGTCATACCTCTACTAAATTGTGAAGAAGACCTAGAGCCAGATGTTGTCATTGTTTATTTTTAATCTTTATCTACCTATCACACAAGAAATAACAACAATTATCACTCAACCAATTGCAAGTTCACCACTGTGTAATCTCAAGATAAATGCAAAGACTAATACACTTTAAAGGAAATATTGAAGTCAAGCCCAAACAAAAGAGATAAATGGAAGCAACAAAACGCCAATAATGAACTTTTACAAATGTTAAATTTAAAGGGAATTGAAACTTGCAATAATGAACTTTTCATGAACGTGGTGGCATGGATTGTAAAATGGTGCCAATTGCCCATCGAGTTTGATTAACCAAGTGATGAACTTCATATCTTGGTGTCTAAAATTTACTTTCATGGCTCCACAAAATTGTGTCTACAAAACAGGTGTGTTAATGGCTATGGAAGTTTTCTATTCCAACCGGTTATGTTTGTTTAAGGAGACAAACATATTTGATATTTAACCATTCATTTGGGTTTTTTAAAATAACAAGTTTTGGGTATTCAGGTCAAGTTTTGGAGTATTTATGCCAGATTTCTCACATGCACAAAAGTCAATCATCAATTAGAGGTATTTAAGTCTTTTCATTAATCTGAATCACTGTTTTGTTTTTTGTTAAATCTTACAGCAACTAAGTGTCTTTTTTGAAGGTTTCGTAACTCATGCCTCTCTTTAGTTCATTTATGATAATAGCCCTAACTTTAATTTTTAAATTCTATCAATAATAAGTAAATTGCAACGTAACAGTACATAAAGTACCAATTATTTGAGATTGGCTAATGTATGAACTAAACAGGACCAGAAATAAGCCAAAAAATGAAGCTAGAAAATAACCAAATAAGCATCCAAAGCCTATGTCATTTTCAGTACTTGGTGTTGTAAATTACTCGTATTTCTACTGAACATATGTGCATTCATGCAGATCAAATCCTAAACATGAACCATAAGTAACTTCTATACAGAAATATACTATAACATTAAATTAATACTAAACATTTATGACATACCTATGGAGCAAATACTTTGTAACAACACCAAAGCCTGGTGCAAGACTTGCTTTCACCCACGGCTTAACCTGATGTATGATAATTTAAAGTACATGTTATAAATCCATATGACCAAAGCCTAATTCACCAATCAAAGAAATCTATTTTTCAACTAGATACTTTTGTACTAAATTGTCTCATCTCAAAGGAACCAAAAATAAAATGAAAATGTGCATCTGTTTAAGAAGAAAAAATTAACCTCCAAACCCAGTTCACAGGCCTTTTTAGCGACAAGACCACCCTGCAGTAAACAAAAGAATTATATTGTGACAAGAGGGACAAATAATCATAAGCATCTATACTATTATTTAGTTGTGTAGCATGTCTATTGATGATTATTCATATTTCACATCTATGGATAGTTTTGTGAAAGCTGAAAGCATAAGGACTGCTAAACTTTTCATCATTAAAAAAGGATAAAGAGAAAAGCACACATTTCAGATTTCACAGCAAAGGTCCCCAAGATTTATGAATACTTTATTTTAAAAATGAAATTTATAGAGATGTCAATTATTAGAATAAAGAAGCGTAGAAAGTCCAATCAATAAAAAATATTCAGTCCACTAAATTTATTGTTTGCAACTCACGTTGAATCAAATTGGATTGTCAAGACATGCTTGCCAATCAGCCTTCATGTGTCGATTTCAGGCGAGGGAGGAACGCGTCGTCGCAATTTCAGAGACTGAAGTTGCGATCGATTTTAACAAGGAATGGTTGTGATTTCAACAAGATTGAGTTTTGATTTGTGTGGGATTTCAGATTTTCGCTATTTCATTCAAATTTTTT